TTGGGATTCCTTCCAGTGGATGCTTAGTTTATTTTGTCATTCTGATCGGATTTTCTCTACTGTTTCGTTTTAATTGTAATTTTAAATTGTTTTGCATTATATGGCCGTTTGCTGTTTTATGGGTTTTTCCCATTTGCCTTTCAAACTTATATATATATATATATATATATATATATATATAACTAAAGAAGATGTCCTACTGACTGTGAATTACCAAAAATATATTTCACAAATCGATATTTTGGATCTAATTTGTTGGATCTAATTATACAATTTAATGAATTTCCAGCTTTTATTATTTTCTTTTTCTTTTTGTTTTAAACTTTACCATGGAAAAAAAAACTTTGTAAAAAAGAATGCTTTAATTTCGACAAAAGTATTATACATGTATATATTAGTTACCCGTATTTCATTTGAAATGTTATATAGATTAAAGATGGAAAAATGAATGAAAACAATTAAAAAAAAAAAGAGTGACAAAAAAGTGGGTGACTCCCACGAAAGACAAAAAAAAACAAATGTCCATTCATAAAAACATAGGCCTATTATGTTTTGTATGACACCTTAACCTCAAATTATTTCCTTTTATCTTTTATTTACAAAAGCTCTGCGATTTATTATGCTCATATTATGTTTGTAAATAATAAGGCCAATGTAATGGCACCGGTGCTCTTTTACGAAAATGTTAATTTCTGCACAGAAACTATTGTAAGTTGGCAACGCTGATATTCAAAACGTTACTGATAGGCCTATATACAAAGATAATAGTAATGTTTTGCTAACATGTGTTTTAAATCCCGCAAAAATGTTGGATGTTGAATGTGTTCCAGGATGGAATAATTACATTGCAAAATTATACAAATGCTACGGATGCTTTCCTTATGTGGCTAAAAAAAAAAAAGATTTGTTCTTTTGTGTTATGCCGTGAAAACCACTAGCTCTAATTTCAAATTACATGCTAAGGTCCTAAGTATATAAAAATAACTTTCGGACATGAAAAGGTCATAAGTGTGATAACGCTTGATCCAAAATGTATTAAACCGGGTCCTAAGTGGAAAAGTGGAGCACATTTTGGCTGTAAAATTGATAAAGATCCAAGGTGTAATAATATTTCGTACTAAAAATCAATAAAGGTCACAAGTAGGCCTAAAATAAAAGTTTAATAAGGGGTGAGCAACTTTCAAGGAGATATGTGTTCCCTTTTTCAACTACCGTACTCGCGCGAATAAGCGCTCCGTTTGAATAAGCGCCCCTCCTAACTTGAAAATTTCCTTAAGCGCCCCGTTTAAATAAGATTTTTTTTTTAGCAAGTCAATAATCCAATCAATCCTTGGACTGTGGTTGTTGGCATGATTTGAGCTGTAGAGTGGAAACACATTCTTCTTAGATCAATATCAAAATAAGGATATTTCACTTGGACAGATGAGAGCTCCGATCCCTGGACAGACAGTATATTTACAACTTTAATCTTTTTTTACATATTTGTCTATGTCTAGTCCTACTCCTTTTTTTCTTTCTTCGACCTTAAGCACATTCTCATCTGAGTTTTAAAAAAAAATACAATGATCCTGCCATCCTGCTAATCTCAATCGGCCGATGGCAAACAAGCTAACCACTACCCATCACTAATTGCATCTGCTATTTTGCTGTTATGTAAATATTCACGCATTCTTGTTATGAGCCATGTTCTCTGGACGATTATCTTTTCTAACCACCATTCGTAATGTCCTTATATAATCTTTTTTTTTCATTCAAAAAGTGCCTCTTGAATTTTTAATTATTAAAATAATTTCCCATAAGAACCCCTCGATTTTCATCTATTTCCATAAGCGCCCCCTCAATTTCCACTCTGTTTTCATAAGCGCCCCGTTTGAATAAGCGCCCCTCAGAAAGTGCGAAAAATATTTTAAGCGCCCGGGCGCTTATTCCCGCGAGTACGGTACTGTACTGTAAAATCACCTAATATCCACTCATTTCCTCTAGCGCCCTCTAAATAGATATTATTTTTTTTACGGTATTGAGGAATCATGGACCATAAATAGCTACATATATAGTTCTGGTTTACGAAAGTACTGGTTTCGGAACGTCCACGTTACAAAAAGTCAGAGTTTCAAAATGTCCGGTTTACGGAAGTTCGGGTTAGGGAAAGTTTGAAATATCCTCACCACGTCGGCATGGTATATGATGCTACCAATTAAACCTTTTTTACCCCTTATCCCGTATGTTGTTTTTTTTTCCGGCGTGAAGTTGGTTACTTGTTCCTTGTTCGATATTCGACAACTGGAAATTAGATACTTGTTCCTCGTTCGATATTTGCTACTGCTGAAGTTAGATACTTGTTCGACGTTCGATATTCATCCCTGTGCGTGTTAAAGAGGCGTTGTTCATTTAATGTGTCACTTGACCCCCTAATGAAACAATGAACAACAACCTAGAAAAATAAAACTTGCCTTAGCCTAAGCCGGGCAAGTATCCATTTAAAAAAAATAAAAGTATTGTTCATTTATTACAAAACCTTTTTAAAATGCTGGGGTCAGGTGCCCAATGGTCCCAATGAATCATTGAATGTCTGGACAATCCAGAAAAAATACAACTTGCCCTGGCCCAACCCGGGCAAGTGCCCATATTAAGTAAAATAAAAAGGTTGTATTATATTCATTTCATTTATCATATAACTGTATATTTAAAAGGTCACATGACCCATTTTTTTTAAATGGTCAAGGTACCAAGTGGAACCAATCATTGAATGTCTGGACAACTCAGAATAATACAACTTGCCCTGGCTCAAGGTGGGCAAGTACTCAAATTAAATCAACAAATATATTGTATTATATTTATATCATTTATCACATAATCGTATATTTCAAGTGTCACATGACCCTTTTTACACGGCTTGGGCCAGGTGCCCAATGGTCCCAATGAGTCATTGAATGTCTGGACAATACAGAAAAACACAACTTGCCCTGGCCCAAGCCGGGCAACCCATTTTAAATAAATAAAAACCTTGTATTATGTTTGTTTCATTTATAAAATAACTGTAAATTAAAAAGGTCACATGGCTCCATTTCAGTGGCATGCAACAAGTGCCCAATGGTTTTCATGAATCATTGAATGTCTGGGAAACCCAAAATAATAAAACTTGCCCTGGCTTATGGCGGACAAGTACTCAATTTAAATCAATAAATATATTGTATTATATTTATTTCATTTATCATATAACCTTATATTTCAAGTGTAACATGACCCTTCTTACACGCCTTAGGCCAGGTGCCCAATGGTCCCAGTGAATCATTGAATGTACAATCCAGAAAAATACAACTTGCCCTGGCCCAAGCCGGGCAAGTGCCCATTTTAAATATTCATTTCATTTATCAAATAAGTTTAAATTGAAAAGGTCACATGGCTTCATTTTAAAGGCATTGCCCAAGTCCCCAATGGTCCCAATGAATTATACAATATCTGGACAACCCAGAATAATAAAACTTGCCCGGTCTCAAGACGGGAAAGTACTCGAAGTAAATCAATAAATATGTTGTATTAATATATGATTTATCACATAATCGTTTATTTAAAGTGTCACATGACCCTTTTAACACGGATTGGGCCAGGTGCCCAATGGTCCCAGTGAACCATTGAATATCTGGACAATCCAGAAATATACAACTTGCCCTGGCCCAAGCCGGGCAAGTGCCCATTATAAAATAATAAAAACATTGGATTATATTCGTTTTTCATTTATAAAATAACTGTAAATTAACATAAGATATTGTTGATCATTTGATAGAAATTTAGAGGTCTTTTTCAAATACAGTATTGTAGTACAAACCTGGCAGAACTTTAGTTTTTACATTATCAGTTTGCTTATTCCATGGTAAATTTTCATCGATATAAACACCGAGGTGTTTGCAATAACTAACTCTTTAGAGTTTATAATCGCATAGTGTCTATAATCGCATTTGAAAAAATACGTACATCTCACAACCTTTTTAATCTGACAATAGATAATGTATTAATTCGTCTGTTCATTAATTAAGCTATTTTTTAAGCAATGACGAAAGGTACACCTTGCCGATTGATTATGTGATGTTTCGTAATGCTGAATTCGTAATGGAGCACGCCATCTACGCCTGAATCAAAATTAAAAAGTGTGAATTCACATAAAAACAACCACGACGGGAAACTTCAAAGACATTTTTCTAATCAAAGTAATTAAAAGTCTGCATCCTCAAAAAAGACCGACAAGTCTCGATGAGATGAAAACATGCGTTATCGATTTATTCACGATTTATATATGGATGTATTATAACAAATTATATGTAGTCACGTGCCAAACTCAAAACACTTCCAATTCTCAAAATGATCACAAATTATTGTATATTTAAATAAAACTACCAAGAGAGTTTGCTTGCCATGTTATTACTATTGATTCGTATTCGGGTATTTTCTACAGATGAGTTGCTCTGCATATTGCCAAACATCAAGAGAGAGTAGAGGCTTAGGCCATCAATCCGTGCGTATCATCACGACGCGCAATGTGCACAATATTTTACCCGGAGATCAAATGGCGCGGCCTGTGCTATGATGACGAAATTGGGGACCAGGATAGAACTGTCAAGTTTTGTTGTCCCACCCTAACTGATGTATTTTTAAACACTTTCATGATTCAAGATTTAATTATTGTATTGCTACAAATGTGTTTGTCTGCTTAATAATCTCTTGTCTTAGCTGTGTTCGGTGAGACGGTGCGTGTGCATAAGGTACTCCGCATGGGCTGAAGGTACAGTATCTATTGTACACAAACGTTTCCCAAACGAAAAAGCAAAACATAGGTTGTTAATGACGTCCAATCTGCACAATACTGTATGTATGCAAAAAGAAGATGTAAATAACAAAAATTAGTAATCATAGTATAACTGTCTCTTATACACAGTATATAATGACTGTATTATCAAATAAATCTTTGTGATCAAGTAACAACACATGACCCGAGATTTGCTCAATAGTTTTTATCTCTCTCACAATTTTATTTGGATCATTTAACAGGAAACAAACGTATAACAACACTTTAAAAAATATTAACAATTGTTCAAAGTTTATGCATATAAATATATTTCTTAAATAATATTATTTTCATAAAATTTAGGGAGAGTTCGGAACACTTAACGAACACGATGCCGATACACCACAGCTTTGTTTTAAATATATATATTCTAGCACAAAAAAAAACAATATGTTTCGCATTTGATAAATACGCAAAGTGAGTGCGTAGAAAATAGGCCCTGCGCCCCGAGTGTTTTGAACGACGTAGAATTTTCAATTTCTCTTTTATATTTACTCTTGTAAGTTGGTAATGGATCTTTCCGCTAAGCTCCGCCCATTAGATATAGTCCCTCAAAAAGATAGCGTAAACGTACGTAAACTCGTGCAAGCGCGTATTCATTGTGGTGTTCTGGTTGGTTAGCTATTAAATTGATTGATATTCCGTAAAGGTTAATTATGCAAAGTGTAAAATGATGTCCATTACTTTTCCAACAAACATATAACCACAGATCCTATATACATCTGTAGGCCTATATAGGATCTGTGATATAACCGATAATTTTCGTCAAAAAAAGGAACGTACACCGTGACTTATATGCATGATGATCGGCTCAAATATATTAAAATGTATTGCGGAACGATATTCATAAAAGTGCACAAAACCTCCCTTTTGAAATACTGAACATCAACAAACTGAAACACAATGGAATATAAAAAATCGTTGATTTTGCTCAGTAATTGTATATAATTATATTCTTAGATGCAATTTGATATCAATCAATATACTGTATATCATACTTTTTTTTAAATATAATGTTAACGTTAAACAAACACTGTAAATATGATTGTATGTAATTAAAGTATTGGAATTCGAACTTTAGATCCATATCACAAATATCTTTATTGTAAATGGCATCAAAATACCTAATAATCTTTAAAAACTCATTTATTAAACAGAAACAATACAATGGGGGCGTTCCACAATATTTTATATTTTACATTATAATTTCGATAATATAAATAGGAATATCCAAGTACAGATAAACAAAAGGAAAACCTTAAATTGGGTTGATGATTAAACCAAACAAACAAAATTTTGGCTACATTAAGCATTCAGTATACGAGACGATAAGCGTCAAGTACATCACAGATTCGCGACACATCTTTACGAACTAGGCCTATATAAAAATCTTGTTTCCTATTGATCGACTGATTCATTGATCGATCAATTGATTGGCTGAATATATTTATTTGATGCTCGACATATCATATGCAGCAATAAAAATGACTGTGAACGAAAATAAATAGTATGAGGATCAGGAACATCCGTTAGGCTAGTGAGTCCGGCCGATTTCCAATTGGGTTCCCATCAATGAAGTTGTTTTTAATACAGTACAGTATATGAAGGCCAGCTGATAAAAAAATTTGGATATTTTATTGGAAAGTATTAATAAAATGTCTTCAAAACAGAAAAAAAACACCAACGTATGATGTAAATATCCATTACACTCTATAGTATCGATGGATACATACATACACTAATGGTGTTCCTTACAAAAAGCTCTTTAAAAATGTTTAAAATAAAAGATTAAATAATGTAATTTCCATAACAACAAATTTACGTTTATCATAAAAGGTATATACTACCACGTAATTCAAATATAGACTTCATAAACTTTAAAAAAAAGTTATAGTATTTGCTCCCATCTGAAAAATAGAATGAGAAAAAAAAAGCCCTTTGCCAAATAATGGATATTTAATAACACCGTTCTTATAGGCATGAACGTGCCCGTCAATTTCTGGCAAAAACGTCAAGGATTTCCGTATTTAAAACGTCTATTAATCATTTTAATACTTGAGTTCTTGTTCTGGGTGACAGTATATGTTGAACACTGAATAAATTCTAAAATATCCATTAAATTTGGAGACTAAAATATTTGTGTATATATAGCTATGAAATTATCAAATTTGATACAGGTCTACGAATTTTAACAACTGGTCTACTAATTTCAACATTTTAAAGTTGCATCGCAAATACAATAGAATGCTCCAAACGCAATTAGTCATTAGATTAAGAATCCTTTGTCAATTTCTTTCGTGTTATTACGTGTGTCTTGGTGTGTTTAGCGAGATGGTCACTCCTCATAAAACGTTTGTTGCACTCTGAACACACGAATTTCTTTTCTCCAGTATGTGTCCGAAGATGGCGCTGTAACTCGTCCGAACGTGTAAAACTTTTGCCACAAAACAACCAATGGCAAACGAATGGTCGCTCGCCAGAATGCCACCTGAGATGCGCTTTTAGATGAGATGTTTTTCCGTAAACTTTGCCGCACCCCTGTATGTGACAAATGTGTTGCTTTTTCTTGTTTTTATCTGCTGGATCTGTAGGTTTCTGACAGTTCGGACATTGGCATCGTCGGCATCGCCGTGCTGCAAGTTTTGACAGCATTGCGGTTGGCGATTGATGGTATGGCATCGGAGAACCATAGCCAACGTGTGGCACCAGGTCGTGTACGCCAGTAATATAGGCAGAAGATGTTCCTGTTGCTATTGAGTGCGATGGATAAGCAGAATAGTCCATTAATGAAATGGGTGACGACAGTGGTTGTAAGCTGGCATTTGTCGCAGTAGGAGACGCTTGCGATGGTACTGCAGGGTAATGCCTACAACAAGAGATCGAAGCACATCGACTTGAATGACTTTGAAGAGCGTCCATCGATGCCATTTCATTTAAGCTCGGTGCTGGGAAGCTGCATGGCATCGTACTTAGTGGTAAATACAGAGGCATTTCCGATGGTCGAAGATGTGTATAGTATGGAGTAGTGAACATTGAGTTCGAAGTTCCACAAGAACAGGAAGATCTACATCTACGAAAAAACTCAGGTCTCGTTGTTGAACCTTCAGCGGGAGGAGTTGGGGGAAGATTGTATTGCGAACACATTGACGTATGAGCAGACGATTGAGGCGTCGATTGCCGTAACGGTGAAATCAAGGCCGTGGCCAGTCTAGGCAGTGTTGATGTTGATGAAGCCATTTGAAGTAGCCGTTGATGAGAATCTGGTTGGGATCGTAGAGGCGCAATAAATCCATGACCGTGACTCGAAGTTGTGGAGGGTTCTCCTTTGCCTATGTTTTTACATGTCTCAACCAGCATGTCAAGGGGATTGCAAGAACTGAAGCTCTGTAATAGAAAGTAATATAGAATTATTTAATATATTTTCATATAATATATACGGGGTTTTCATGAAAATGAAAAATATTCCACAAAATGTATTAAACGAGTATAGCATTAAAACGACGTCGGCACGTCAGAGGATGTGATCAAAGAAAAATTGCGACAATAATGACGGGTTTGTTATTACGAATGTAATTTAATCAGCTTCACAGCAGACAATCATAATTGTACGTTCATGCATGGGTTATGGCGCGAATTTATCATTCCCACAGTCAACACGAATCGATTCACCCTGCGTTACTAGTTTACTTGCCCATTGCTTCTTACAGCTAGATTCCATTTCAAAAATGTGTAAACATTCTATTTTGATAATCATAAATGTAATTTATAAATACATACACGTAACACAGGTCGTCCTGTCAATCGCTCAACGCATGATTATAAGTTATATCGGATCGAATCGCTATGTACCCTATCTAATTTACAGTTAAGTGTGAATTATTGAAAACAGCTAAATGCTTGTTTTGTATGGAGCTTGTTGTTTACAAAACTAAAAAAAGAGTTAAAATAACCGGGTGTTATTAATCGACGGGTGGGTGGGGGTGGATAATACCATTAGGCTTGTGTATTTGAAGAAGTCTATCTGAAGCCTGAATCGCTGAAATGATGGATAAAAACGCGAATTGGATCAATGTCTATTTAATTCACCCATGGGATTACCCATGGAAACTTTAAATTAAAGTACAGTAGTGTTGAATTACACGTTTCTTAAAGTAGGCATAATACCATGCAAGAACCAAAATAAAAAACCTTAACTAAAACTTATTGCTCTTTTTAAGGAGTCACATAAGTTATCAACTTCCAAATAGGGGAAAAAAACGATATTTATTGATTAACAGACCTTTTAATATTATACTAAAAATGCTTACATTTCTGGTAGAATAACTTGATATTAACTTGACAAAGTATTGACACGTAGCCTATGCCAGAAAGTGTTGTAGCCGTAATTAAGTTGGCCTATGAGTACTTTAGGGAAACCGTACCACATTCTGGTAGGCCTTGCTTCAATCAAGGAGGTTCCTTGATTCAATACAGGTTTTAATTAACACCAGAAAAATGATGCGGTTCTTCAATACAATCCAGTTAGCTAGATCTAATTTTTACATGATTATAGCAAAATATAAATGGGGAAACCGGGTGCGTTGAGTAATTGTACCACCGACAAAAACAAGTAACTTAATACAATTCCATCAGTGTAATATGCGATTAAATTCCCCGTTCACGCATTAACAAAAATCAACACAAAGAAGCTGTTCCCACAAATTTACGTCAAATGTTTATAAACCTGTTCCCCAATGCAGGCCTATAATTAAGTTTTAGTTCATCATTTGTATGCGGTCGTATAATAATGTTTTTACCCGTTAAAATCAATAATAAAATGTCATTCCAGTAATTATAGGCTAAACAGTGATAATATGGCTATAAATCGATGCGAATCAAATTAATTAATGATATGTCTTCTTTTAATTAAAGTGATGCTGCTGATTTTGACATGCTCTGATTTGTTCAATCATAAATTGTGGCGGATATAATTTATAATCAAATATCAGCTAAATTCCGTAATACCATTATCGCTCCCATTAATTTTATGAGAAGATTTCGCGGATTATTTGTAAGTGAATAAAGAATGCCGCCAATTGTATTATTAAAATTACTAATGTTTGGCCCACAGATGGATAGACGCGAGGAACCTGCTCACGCAACATCACTCCATCCAGACGATATCGGGACTATTTTATTCGAATTTAAAGATAGGCCTAAATTCCATCTGTTTATATATGTATTCGAGTTAATATTAATGGCCAACTAGTACCACTAAGATTATTAATACGTATTTCCCAAAAGTACGGTAATGAAACAGAATTGCGTTTACGATGTCGGATACGATTAAATAAAAAAAATGACAGGAAAACGTATATGAAGACCTTCTAATTTTAAATGGTAAATGTTTAAGCCAGTGCTTAAGATAGTTTTAGTGTCTATCGGCATCCAGTTATCAGGTAGATGACACCATGTTTGCCTTCGTGGATCATTTAAAAGTGATAATAATATTGAATATAATATGTATTATTTATAAGTAAATTCGTTGTATAATGTGCAATATTAGCGCCATTTCTACCTTTAAAGTAAAAAAATATTACCATCTGGCTTAAACCTATGCCGTTTGCAATGAGCTAAAGAATTTGAAAATACAATTATCAGTATTCGAAGTGTTTGTATTGTAGGCCCATAGCCTATAAAGTATAATTAGTTTTTAATTGAAAATTAAAAAGAAAAACATTTCTCCCATAAAGTCTAAAAATTCTCATAAAATTAGTTAATAAGCCTATAATAAAATATAATATACTATTGATAGATAAATCGAGTAACTTTAACATTTAAAAAAAGGCTTAATTTCCATATTTCAAAAAGCTAAAAGTCTTTTACGAAAAATTAGAAAGAATAAAAATGTTTGCTCGAATATTTAAAAATAATAATTTCTTAGTCTTTGTAAGATCTACTCTAAAAATTTCTGGCTGCAAATTTATGTGTTTTCGTTAATAAAACGTCTGTAAACTGAACGATGTTTTTTTTTCGATCTGTGATTTATTGCCTATTTGATAAATTATGAACTCAAATTTCACTTTTTTTAAATGTATTACTGGTTAAATTATGATAAAATGAATAAAGATTGAATTGAAGTAAAAGTTGAAAGTTATAATTACAGTATTGTCTTTTCTCATCTACTGTTGTAATTTAAAAAATGATACTATGTAATGATAAAAACTGAACACAGATAAGAGCTAAAAATCGATCATGATCTGATGTATTTAATTAATACTAGCTTATCATGTACAGACTCCCGCATTAGTAACAAGGATTTTAATTTTCAAAATGATTACTAGCCTATGGGTAAATTTCCCGTACAATTAAAATCGGAACTGGTCTATTTATAAAATGCCTTGGTTACTGGAGTTCGTGCTTCTATCAGGTCATTCAATATAGAGAAGCCTTTAATGGAGAAAAGTATCTGTCATTTATGCCAAACATAATTTCGGCTATATGTAATAGAAACATTGATAAGTATTTTATTGCACACGAATATTTCGTCCTGTCCTCAGAACTTTCTCAATGTGAAAATGGATATAAAGCTGTCTCTTATACACATCTAGATGTGTATAAGAGACAGGTGTGTGTGTGTGTATGTATATTCAATTGTTCAATTGATATTTTCTTTTTTAGCCGCAATAGGACACTATACTTACCGCTGATTCCTCACAACAAACACCGTTTCTCTCACTATTTTACTACTAATTTTTACCTCTCTAATTTTTGTTTTTTTGCTCTTAATGAAATCTCTGCCCAGCCTGCCGTCATCAGTGCTTTGGGTGACTCTAATGTACAGTCTTTTAAATAATGTTTTATATCAATGTTAATATTACAGGTAATGTATAATGTTGATACGATCAACTCTTATTTTGAAGTTGCATATGAAAATTGTACGATAGTTACGGTACCAATCCTATTGTTTTTATTTTAAAAATAAATATTTGGTTTTTTTTTATAAACTAGGTATACCTTAGTCCACCATTCAAAATACACGTTTCCTGTATTTCCCTAACGTCCATAATCTGTTTATAAATTTAAAAATATTGCAGACGGTAAATTTAGGTTACGTAATAATTATCATTTGTTCAGAGAACTGAGTTTGTTTAAAGCATGGTTTACACAGGCATGGGGTAAATTACAGTGAAATTGTAATCAATTATATTTTCATTATAATTGATTACATTTTCACATAAAATCACTAAACTTCGGCTGCACTGGCTCGCCGACAGCTGCCGAGTAAACTTGGTAGCGAGTTTATGGAAACGCTTCGTGCAGGTTAACTCCCCGCGATCCGTCGGAAACGAATCCGTGTGGTTTTGCTGAAGTTCGTTAAAATTGTTAAGTTGATACGGTGGTTAAAGACGAGGTCTACTTAATTGTAATCCATAAAACTTCTGATCTGTTGATTTTAAATATTTTAAATCAATTAATTACTAACCACAATTAATGAAACGAATAATGTAAAATTAATAAAGCTTATTCAGCCCGGAGACAAAGCATGGCCACATATCGCGTCTCATGAAGCGTTTATCCGTTGAGAGGAATACCCATGTTAGACGTGACGTGGATGTACATTTTTATTCTGGGCCTGTGTTTTACTTCTACATTGAATTTTGTTTAGCCTTCAGTATATTGCCCTTTCTGTTTTTATCGTATTATGAAGCTTAGAAATGTTTCATTACTTGCGGAGACGGCCTAAAATGTTATTAGCTATGAAATTCATTTTTTGTTTTAAATCGAAATAAAACAGGAAAATACTTTTATTGTTTACAGTGTGTTCATGGTACATACTACTACACAATGGACTAGGGCTTATGATTAGTCATATAAAAATTAATGTAATTTGTTAATATATTAATAAAAAAGAAAATAACTTACTATTAAGTTACGATATTTTCTTTATTACGATAATTATCCAATCCTTTTTCTTTTCTCGTTTTTCTAAAGTTTAATTCTTTTTGTCGAAATACGTTAAAGGCATTGGCCTACCAGGCCTGTTGATTATGCACTGTTTATTTTATTTTGATTAAGCATATTAAAAATTATCATTGTCATCATCATTATCATTATTAACCTAATATAATATCATATTATCAACATTATCATTTTTGAATACCGTACCTTGACTCGTCTTCGCTTATCGAGGAAGTGGATGAAACAAACATTTAATGTTATCAGACAAAGGTTGTGTGCATTAGTATGATCACATACACAGACCAAGCATAGTACAAATTATCACTATTGTTTTCTTGGAGTTCATAAAATGTAATCAACGAATTGTAATTTCAAATTTTAGCAATTTCATATTCACGTTTATTAGTGTTCGTGAAATTAATGTTTGAATGGCTTTAGAAAGA